TCTCTCAGGCAAGAAGCTCCCTCCCCCCCACACCTCCTGGCTTGGGGTTTGGTGCTGGTGCTATTTATAACTTCCCAGGGGTCAGCAAGGTGGCCCAGAGAGGGTCAGGAGTACTCACAGAAAAGAGAATTAGGAGAACAAGAAAGGTACATTTCAGAGAATGACGATTTTCCTTTGTAGTACATCTTGGTTTCGTTCTTCTTTACATTGTAGTCAGAAGACACATCAAAGTCATGTATTAGCAGCAGTGTGTAAATGAAAATGAAAAGGAATGAGATAATTGTATATTTTCTGGATCAAGACTTTTCAAACTATCTGTCACAAAGGACTGTTTTTTGTTCTTTTCCAATTGACCCAATATTTTTGCAAACACACTAGAAATCACTAAAAAAGTGAAATGCAAAACAAATAAAGTAAAATAAAACAACAACAAAAAAAACCCAAACCACAGATTTTTAAAATATAAGTCCAAACTTTTATTATTTAGACACAAGAGACATACGATTCTTCCGACAAGTTACTGGAAAGTTGCTGAACACTCAATCTGGATCCTTGCACCTGCGGTGATGTGAGAGCCTGCTGGGCAGCACTGGCCCCGGGGAACATACTTTGGGTAGCACTGCCCTTGGTCTCCTTTCCTCCTGTGCTTTGCACGGTCGCCTGGTCCCTAAAATGGACTTTCCCGATAACAGGGATGGGGATCGGGGCATTTGTCATTCTTCACAGGCATTTTATTGTGGTGAATTATAATTTTAGAAAAAACGTTTTGCTTCCTATCATGTTAAAAACAAACAAACAAATAAAAACAAGTGTACAATTACAATGAAAACAGCTCCTGGGAAACTGTACAGATTCATATAGAGACCATGACTGTGGCTGAACTCTCTTAAAGGAGACTTCCTTTGGAGACTTTTGGCTTTACCTGGTTTATGTATAAAGAGGATTAAAATCTTAAGCATGGCTAGTTGTCATTTAATTTGAATTCTACCCATTCTTATGTCCTCTGTGAGGCCTGTAAAGTGTTTTGGTGCATGAATTAGGAGCAGAATGGCCAGGTTTAGGAAATAAACACACAGAACACCCCGCTAAAGTGGAATCTCACACAAGCAATAAATACTTTCTATAACTATGGTCCCAACAGTTCATGAGTCATGCCATACGCAATACTTGGGACACACTCATAGTAAAATGTGTCTGAACTTCAAATTTCACTGGAGGTCTTGTATTTTATCTGGCAATTCCATTTAGTTCATGTCTGGATTTTTCTAGGGAAAAGTATCAGCTCAGCTGATCAAATCTGGTCCTATCAATCCAACTTGCTTAGCTATTGACAGCAGGAAGTTGGACGGTCAATACAAAGTGATAATATTCCTTTAGAAAAATATATTTTCAATGGGACAAAGCAGCCACTCATCTTTCCTTACTTTGAGTGACTTTCAGTTAGTGTTTTCCAAAGCTCTAGTTCAATAATGGCACAAGGCATGGCAGAAGGTGAGCTGGTGAGAAGGGCCATTTGAATTTAACAGCTACATTGGGGACAAAATTGGCTCAGTGGAACTTTTTGCATGGAAATGTACAGAGAGACATAAAGATAGGTAAAATAAAGTCCCTATTCCTATAACATATTATAAACAAGCTGGCAGGGATGCATCCACATTATTTTACAAATAACTTTATGAGAAACTCAGAAGCACAAAGGCAGAATTAGTTTATGTTAAAAAACAATGGAAGTCTTGGATATTTATGCAGGCTTTTTTTTTTTTTAATCCTTTCAAAGATATGTCACTGCTAGCTGTTGTTCTTTTATTCAATGTGAATGTTTGTTTTTGGGTCTTACATGAGAGTTTTGACATTTAAAAAAATATATATTTTATTGATTTTTTACAGAGAGGAAGAGAGAGGGACAGAGAGTTAGAAATATCGATGAGAGATAATAATCGATCAGCTGCCTCTTGCACACCCCCTACAGGGGATGTGCCCGCAACTAAGGTACATGACCTGGGACCTTCTCTATCCACTGAGCCAAACCGGTTTTGGCAGAGTTTTGACATTTTTTGATGTAGAATTAATCCTCCTAGATTTTAAAGAAAGCTTTACACTTTTCTTAAATTGATGTCTGATCTAGGTAAGAAGGAAATGACTCCTTAAAATACACTGCAGTTTATTTTTATACTGTCACTCTGGTTGTTTAAACATTTCTTGTTAGCTAATAATAAAAACACACCGAGAAATATACTTATTAAAATGTATTTTGAAATTATACACACACACACACACACACACACACACTAATTTTGGGACAAATTGGAAAATGTAAGTATTTATCAAAAAGAGAAGTAAGTCCTGAGCTATGAAGCTCAGTGGTTAGAGCATCGGCCTGTGCAACTAAGGATCTCTGGTTTGATTTTAGGTCAAGGGCATGTAACTGGGTTACAGGTTGGTCCCAGCTCTGGTCGCAGCATGTGTAGGAGGCAACCAATTGATGATCTCTCACAATGTTCTCTCCCTACCTCCCACCCCTGCTTCCTCCTTTCCTTCTACTATCTCTAAAAAAAAAAAGCAAGGGGAAAATATTCTCAGGTGATCATTAGAGAGAGAGAGAGAGAGAGAGAGAGAGAGAGAGAGAGAGAGGTAAAATTGCTAATAACCCAATCACATAGAAAAGGTCCCACAATTGTTCTTCTATTCTCTTGTGTGTGTTTATATTTCATTGTTGAGAGCATATATAATGTTGTGTTCTCATTTTTTGCCATTAGCTATTCAACTTAAGCAATTGCTGAATTGTGAAAATTTTTCTAAGAATCATTTTAATGGTTGAATCATATTTTATAGTAAGTTTATTTAATGAACTTGAGTTGGACAGTCAGGTTTTTCTAACTTCCAATTCTAAAACTTCTAGTGATGATCTGTTTTAAATTCATAGAACTAATATTACTGGGTTACAAGGACAAAGACTTTTAAGGCTATATATTTTGTTAAGCTTCATTAAAAAGCATTATAGACATATATTAGGAATGTATGAGTTCCCATTTCACTGAACTTCATTGCTACCATATTCCCTTTATTTTATTAACCTGTTGTGTTAGAGTTCTCTGGGGAACTGCAATGAGTAAAGGTTGTGTGTGTGTGAGTGTGAGTGTACACAGAGAGATTTATTTTAAGAAATTGGCACATGTTGGGATATCAAATCCAAAAATGCCTGTTATTGTTGGCAGGCTGGAAATTTAGGAAAGAGTTGATACTGAGTCCTGAGACCAAAAGCATTCTCATGACAGCACTTCTTTTTTCTTTAAAGATCTTAGTCTTTGTTCTTAAACCCTCCCACTGTTTAAAGGAGTCCCACCCACATTACAGAGAATAATCTGCTTTACTCAAAGTCTGCTGGTTTTTTAAATGTTAATGACACCTAAAAAAAAATACCTTAGAACAATGTCTAGAATAGTGTTTGATTAAACAACTGGGCACCACAGCCCAGCTACGTTGACACATACAATTCACCATCAGGCCTGTGGTACAAATAGACTGTATGCTATTTGATGGAAGGCCATGCCTGCTCTTTCTTCCCAGTTGTCTGTTTGTTCAACACCATCTGTTTCTGTGAAGACACACTGACTTATTTAAGACTTTTATGTAGAATGTAAGTTTTCTGTTTAAAACACAAAGATTATCTCATCCAATTTTGGTATAAGGCATTTATAATCTCTATCAAATGATGCTTAGGAACAAGCCTGGGATTGGGCTTCATACAAGCATTAGAGGCCCAGTGCACAAATTTGTGCACCAGTAGGGTCCTTTGGCCTGGCCTGGGGGATGGGGCTGAAACCCGTCTTCGACCTATTCCAAGTGGTTCTGGGTTGTGAGAGGGTGAAGGTCATGCTCGAGGGACCCCACTAGTGCACAATTGGGGCTAGGGAGGGATGCAGGAGGTTGGCCAGCCGAGAATGGAACATTGGAAGGCTCTAGGGCATGTCTGGCCCATCTTGTTCAGTCCAGATCAGCTGGACCCCAGCAGCAAGCTACCCTACTGGTTGGAGCATCTGCCTCCTGGTAGCCAGTGCACATCATAGCAAGCAGTTAAGTGGCCTTAGCATATCATTAGCATATTACACTGTGATTGGTTGAGTGGCCAACCAGTCAATTGGACACTTAGCATATTAGGCTTTTATTATATAGGATAACTCACAAATAGCCCTCTATCATGTTATAACTGGGTGTGAACTTGGATGGGGTAGTTAAACTCCATCCCACTCAATTTTCTCAACAGTGAAGTCTGAAATATCATACCCACTTTCCAGGGGTTTGTGCATTTTAACTAAGGAAGCATTTATAAACTTATTGTACAGTGTTTAGTATGTAATAGGCCATCTGTATTTTAGTTCTTTTCCTCATTCACCTTTTTCTTAAATTAGCCAACACCACACCCCAGTGCTCACTCCTAAAAGTCAGTGCAGAAAAATATTTCCCTCCTCTAGACACTCAGTATTGTAGCAGGTCTACCAGAAAGCTAAACTCATTTTGCTTTTTGAGTACATGACTCATTTCCCCTTCTATTATTCAGACAGTATCATACATGAATGACTGATAGATAAATGAGATTATTTTTGTTGAATATTTATTCATTCACTTAACAAGCATTTTTAATTGCGTATTACATCCCAAGGTCTGTTCTAGGTGCTGGAGATAGGACAGTGACATTATAAATTCACTAGAGGCCTGGTGCATGACATTCATGCACTTGATGTGGGGGAGGGCCCCTCAACCCAGTCTGCACCCTTATGCAGTCTAGGAGCCCTCTGGGGATGTCCGACTGATGGCTTAGGCCCATTCCTTATGGGCTTAAGCTACCACTGCTGCACTTGCCAGCTCTCAGCTGGCTTCTGGCTGAGCAGCACTCCCCCTGTGGAAGTGCACTGACCACCAGGAGACAGCTCCTGCGTTGAGTGCCTGCCCCCTGGTGGTCAGTGCACATCATATCAACCAGTCATTTCACTGTTAAGTCGATTTGCATATTACTTTTATTATATAGGATAGAATTCCTTGCCCTTTGGACCTCAGGTATTAGTGGGGAGACACCCAAACAAGGAAATCAACAATTATAAACTCAAACCACAAATACTGTTATACTAGGTAGGGTTGACTAGGTGATGCTGTGGTTGTGACTAAATCTCAACAGCATAATTCAATAAAAGGTTCATTTCTCACTCAGGACAAATCAATGGCTGGTCCAGGTGACTATTTAAGGAAGTTGTGCTCAGCCTTCCAAGATGTTTCCTCTATATCAGCAGGTGCATTCATCAGAGACGAGTGGCCTGGAGAATTAAATAACAACAGTTACAAGCTTTCACACATGTTACTTCTCCTTCATATTGCATTGGCTATAGTAAGTCATGTGTTCATGCCTACTTTCAATCAAGTGGAGAAGTGTGTCCTGCTAATCCCAGTGGTAAAGGCGAACCAGAAGTGCCTACAAAGTATTAAGTGCTACAAAAAAAAAGTGTATATAGAAAGCAAGAGGGCCTTAGCTGATTTTGCTCAGTTGATAGAACCTCAGCCCACAGACCATAGGGTTGTGTGTTTGATTCCTGGTCAGGGGCATGTACCTCTGTTACAGCCTCGATTCCAGCTCTGGTCAGATCCAGAATCAGGGCACATGCAGGAGGCAAGCAATCAATGTGCTCTTCTCACATTGGTGTTTCTCTCTCTCTCTCTCTCTCTCTCTCTCTCTCTCTCTCTCTCTCTCTCTCTCTTTACCCCTCCTACCTCCCTTCTTTCCCCCTCCTCCCTTCCTCGCTCCCTCCCTCCCTTCCTCCCTCCCTTTCTTCCTCCCTCCCTCCCTCCCTCCCTCCCTTCCTCCCTCCCTTCCTTCCTTCTTTCCCTCCCTCTTTGTAAAAATCTATGGGAAAATATCATTGGGTGAGGAATAAAAAAAAAAAAAGAAAGTGAGAGGATATTATATATTTTTTTGCAAATGCAATAGAAACAAAATAACACTGGGCTTTTATGTACATTATTGCTTAGAATTATATTAAAGTATGCATTTCAAAAAAAATGGAGTCAACTGAAAGAAAGTGATTTAATAATGCTTGCTATAAATATGTACTCAGACATGAGAAAACTCATTAAGGTCATTTATGAATGGTTGATGTTTGATAGATATGGAGTTACTAAATCTACCTGAGGACAAGATAAAAGTATTTATATAAGTATCCTTGAGTATTTAGGCACCTAGTAGATGCTCAATAAAACTTCATTGCAATTAATAATGATTATTGCTTTAAATTATTCTTGCTTGTCCTGGCTGCAGGCTCAGTTGGTTGGAGCCATCCCTTGCATCAAAAGGACTCAGCTTCAATTTTCAGTCAGGGCACATACCTATGTTTCTGGTTCCATCCCAGATTGGGGTGTGTATAGGAGGCAACTGGTTGATGTTTCTCCTTCACATTGATAGGTTTCTCTCTCTCTCTCTTTCCCTATCTCTCCCTCTTTTCATTTCTCTAAATTAGGGGTGTCGAACTCAATCAGAGAAGGGGCCAAAATCTAAAATCCAGCCTAAATCGCGGGCCGAATGGTTTACTGAACAGTCATAAACTGTCATTGTGATGGAAACACAGCGGAGTGCAGTGATGACAGCGCGGTGTGGGCCACATTGCAAGGCCTGGCGGGACGGATTTGGCCCGCGGGCCTTGTGTTTGACACATGTGCTCTAAATAATCAACAAAAACATATAATTGGGTGCAGATTAAAAAATATATTATGCCCTAGCCAGTTTGGCTCAATGGAGAGAGTGTTGGCCCCTGGACTAAAGGTTCCTGGGTTCGATTCTGGTTAAAGGCATGTACCTCAGTTGCAGGTTCAATTCCTAGCCCTTGTCAAGCAAATGTAGGTTGCAACGGATTGATGTGTCTCTCTCACATCGATGTTATTCTTTCTCTGTCTCTCCCCTTTCCTCCCACTCTCTCTAAAAATCAATGGAAAAATATCTTTGGGTGAGGATTAACAACAACAACAACAATAAAAAAGTATATATCTTTATTATTATTGACTTTATACTTGATTAATGCTCTAGTCCAATACAATTTTATCCTGAGGCTTGAAATTTTCTTCCAAGGCCAATATTTATTGGTTTTACTTACATTAATATTTTTCTATTAAACTATAATTTAAAGTTCAACCACACATAGTTGAATCACTTAGTCTCTTTTTTCTACTTTGTCTTGAGTATTTTCTTAAGCCATTGGGAAAAAACAAAGTTATAACATTACTTTAATGTTAGAATTTGCAATCTACCATCGTATCTTTTTTTTTTTTTTTTTTTTAACCAACTCATGTTTACTACTCCTTTGGAAATTACTGTATTGAAAAGGAATCCACAGATTTAAATATAGAAGGTAGAAAATGCCAAATAAAAAATTATTCAAGGTCATGAATATCTTCTTTTTTAAAAATATATTTTTATTGATTTCAGAGATGAAGAGAGAGGGAGAGATGAAAACATCGATGATGAGAGAGAATCACTGATTAGCTGCCTCCTGCGCACCCCCTACTGGGGATCAAGCCTGCAACCCCAGAATGTGCCCTGACCAGGAATATGAACTGTGACCTGTGGGTTCATAGGTGGATGCTGAACCACTGAGCCATGCTGGCCAGGCATGAATGTCTTCTTAAAGATAGAATGATACACGTCCTTTCAAAGACAGTACATTTATGTTCTTTTCTTCTGTCTCCACTGCTCTTTTCCTTTGCTTTTGACTAAGTCTTTGGAATTTAAAAATAAACCTCTCAAGAGAGGACTCGGTTTTTCTTTGGGTGGAAAGGTCAAGGACAAATGAGAAGAGAGTCTCCATCTCTACCCCATTGACCCTCATTTCAGGACCATCACTTCTCCACTATGTCTGGGGCATCGCCTCCTTCCTGTTTGCCAAGAATTTGTCTAAAAAAAGGACCTCTCCATTCTGTGCTGTGAGTCACATGGTCTCTGTAAGAGTCCATGCCCTTCGCTGCAGTTAGCTGCTCTTGAATTTGTACAAAATTTGGTGGTTAGTTGGCAAATGGGACACAGCTGACTTCTGATTTAGAGAGTGTCTGAAACGAGTTACCTCCTACCTTACCTTGATCATTTAAATGGAAAGCAGTACTGCTCCAACAGAGCAGACATGATATGAAAACTATTTCTTAAAAAAATTTATTATATAGTAGTATTTTTTATTGATTTCAGAGAGGAAGGGAGAGGGAGAGATAGAAACATCAATGATGGGAGAAAATCATTGATTGGCTGCCTCCTGCACACCCCACACTGGGGATCGAGCTTGCAACCCAGGCATGTGCCCTTGGCCGGAATCGAATCCAGGACCCTTCAATATGAAGGTTGATGCTCCGTCCACTGAGCCAAACCAGCTAGGGCTGAAAATTATTTCTGACACGAATATCTTCCCTCCCAAACTGGCAAGGCTACTGGTATATCTGAGTGGGAAAGTTAAAAAAACAACAAACACATGGGTTTTACAATTCTCACAAATGGTAAACCACCTTTCTATTATTTAAGACAAGCTTTAAATGTTCAGTGAATTGTTTTGGCTAATGACAATTGATGCAAACAATATAGCAATTATCTAAAAAACCAGAATGGCCTTTTGTAGCAATTTGGGGTAGAAATTGCTGATAATATCAGTGCACATAACGGCTGTAGCTTGGGCTAAGGAATTATTTTACCTTTTATTTGCAAACAAGACAGTATTCTTTTGCCCTCGAGGAATACCCAGATCACTTATTAATAAAAGAATACTGGTATCCTTTGTCCATGGCGGTGAGATTGGCAGAGGCAGTCCCAGGATCCCGATCACACGTGTCTTAGCATCTGGAGGAGCCTCAGTAGGTCTTTTAGGAGGAGAGCATTCTGTAGTTGAAGATGTCTACACCTAAAGCCGGAACACTTGGAGAGAGTCCTGGCTACAGACTATTAACTGTCAGGAATTGAGCTGTCCATACCAAGTTCTCACTAAGGCTTTTCCAGACTGGCTCCAAGGTTCCTCTCCAGCGTTATTTTTATAGTCTTTACTCTTCACGTGCTTCATTCCAGCGCCTGCAGCATTTCTCACACATTCCAGAGACACGCTCTTGTTGCCAGGCTTTTTGTACTGCTGTTCCCTTTGCCCAGAATGCTCTTCCCCCAGACGCAAGCTGACTTTTTTTTTTTTTTTTTTTTTTTTTTTTTTTTTTTTTTTTTTTTTTTTTTTTAAGCAGATCCAATATGTACCATAGTATTACAAATCCTTCACATGTTTACTTGGTGAATTCTGAAAGTAACTGTAGGATATGGGCAGTGCCATTGGATGGATGGGAATAAATGGGGGTGCAGTGATACATCAGAGGGAGGCCTGGAACTAATGATGTTCAGGTGGGAGCCAAGGCTTTATTCTTACCGTCTCACACCAGGGCATGGTTTATGCCTTTCCTTTAACCCCAGAGCTCCTCCTTGGAGAGCATTTCCTACTACATATTAAAGGAAGAATCCCTGGGACTCCTTAAAAAAAAATATATATATATATATAATTGAATTTTTTACAGAGAGTAAGGGAGAGGGATAGAGAATTAGAAACTTTGATGAGAGAAAAACTTCGATCAGCTGCCTCCTGCACACTCCCTACTGGGTATGTACCTGCAACCAAAGCACATGCCCTTGACCGGAATCAAACCTGGGACCCTTGAGTCTGCAGGTTGACACTCTATTTACTGAGCCAAATCGGATGTGGCCCCTGGGACTCTTACTCTGTATATGTTGTAGCAGCACTAAATGCCACCTATCTTTTAGTGCCTACTTACCTTGCTTATCTCTTTGTTTATCCCCCCTCTCCCCCCTTAGAATGCACACTCTATGAGGGAAAGGCCTTGTCCTGACCAGTGTATCACCACTTCCCCTGCACCCCGAAATGAACTGGAATGGACTGGAATACGGATATGAGTGGTGTTAGAATGGTCATGTTTTGAGTGTCTCATTCAGCAGCCATTTACGGGGTGTCCGTTTTATGCCAGACACCACACTGGTTCTGGAAATGTGAAAGTGAACCAGAGTGATGGGCACTCCTGGCTCCCTGGTTTCCGTGGTGCTTTCAGAACACCTCAGAAGCAACATGCAGTGAACAGGCAGTGACACGGGGTAAGCACAATATCAGGGCCAATACAAGGGGCAGTGGGGAAGCAAGGATTCAGTGAAAACTAATGTGCGGGCTGTTATCTATGCCAAGACCTAAAGGGCAGGCTGAAGGGTAAGGGCCTTAGAAGTGGGTTTGGGTTTACAGGAAGCCCTGAGAGAACACCCTCCGGTTCTAGAAACTGTTGAGCAGGACTCGGACAGAGAAGATAAGGGAAATAATTTACCTGGAGAAGGAAGCTTGCCCAAGGACTCGATTGCCCAAGCAAGGTGATGAATTTTTAAATCAATGGGATTTTTTTTTTTTTTTACTCAGTATTGCCTTTACCACCTTCAGCCAGGCAAGTTGGCGGCATTCCCATTTTCCAGATGGGACAACTGAGGCCCAGGATGACACATTTAAACATCAGCCAAGCTGGTTTCACTTCTTTCATGACAGGGCTGTCAAGGCTCTTACCCCTTTCTCTCCCACCCTCTTTCCTTCCTTCCTGCTGATTATTGTTCTTGTCCAAAGTCAAACAAAACTATTAGCTCGCCTCCCTTATCTTTCTCCAAGGGACATGCATGCACTTACACAGCTTCCAGAAACCAGACCCCGGGCGGAAGCTAGTGGCCTCAAGGATGGTGGGACTTGACCATGGATGAGCACAATACTGTGCATTGCCCTGAAGTCTCTGGTCTGGACCAGCAAGCTGGATCTGCACCAGGAACTTCCTCTCTGAAAAGGGACTCAGGGCTGGGGAGCCCAGAGCGGACTTGAAAAAGTAGAGAGCAGCTCAGCATTGGCCTGCCCGGCGCTTTGGGCATGCGTGAGCACTCACAGCAAACACAGCTGGCGAGGCTAAAATTAGCCCTGCCAGCCTTGCAAAGAGACCCTTTAAGGAAATATATTTTCTCAGAAACAATTTGTATTATAATGCAGCAGCTGATCGGCAAGTCAGAATATTACTTACTATTGGTGGGGGGAAAACTCTGCCAAACAATTATGATATCTTTTCTGTGTGTGATATCAGTGCAGCAATCAGAACATCCATGATCAAAGTCATAATAACGAGATAGACAGTGAGAGGACCGGTGTTTTTATGTATCAAGAAGTTCATAAACCCGACAGAGCATCTCTTTTGACATTTCCAAACGGGATGTGATGCTAAGAGTGACTGTTTCAGCTCTAAGTTGGTCCCTGTGATCCGTGGTGCATGGCTTATTAACCTGGTGTAGACTCCAAATTTCCTCCACCCTCGGCATCCTCCATGCCCTCCAAGAAGTAAAATATGTTAGTTTCTAAATGGTTCTTTTCTAAAACGTTAGATATATCTGGCTTCGGGGCGTTCACGGGTTTTGAAAGCCTTCGGAGACACACTTTTTGCAATTTTTAACCAATTAGGTTTGTCCCTCTTCCTGGATTTTTTTTCTTCTTTTTTTTCTTTCTTCCCCTCTCTCCCTCCTTCCTCCCTTGTCCTCGCCTCCCTCCCGAGGAGGTCCGCACTGTTTTTGTTTAGTGGGGCGGCTTAGGCTTACCTTTAAACTTGGCAGGAAAAGGAGAGAAGGCAGCTCCTCCGTGGAGTCCATGGAGGGAAGGACAAGAAGCCATCCACCGCCCGCAGCCGAGTCCCCCGGTTCAGTTCCAGCGGCGGCAGCCCCGCTGCAAAAATCGCTTTGCTATTCCAGATAGCCAGCAGAGGGAATCGGAACTTTGCTTGCAGCAGGGGTTGAAGCAGCCTTTTTTTTTTTTTTTTTCTTCTTGGAGGAAATACTGCAGCCTTCTGGACTGCATACGCCGCTCCCTGGAGAGGCTCTCTCGGTTCCACCCACCGGCTGGAAGGAGGGGAAGTGAATGAAAGGACAGGACAAGCCCGGATCACCATGTCACTCTGGGAGGGAGACAGCAGCAACTAAGCTGTGCAAGGTTTTTTTGTTTTTTTTTTTCTTTCTCCTTTTTTTCTTTTCCCCTTTCTTTTTCTTTCTGTTCCCTCCCTGTGTTTCTTTTTTTTTTCTTTCTTTCTTCTTTCTTCCTCTTTCTTTCTTTCTCTTGATTTGCTTTTGCTTTAAGGTGAGGAAAGAGACAAGCAGGAGACAGGAAGCTGATCTGCAAGGATTCGGAGTTATGCTGAAAGGACTTTGATTTTTTTTTTTTTCTTCTTTCTTTCTTTCCCCCTTTTACAAACGCTGGCAATTGACATCAATCCAGACAGCCTGGTAGAGGAGCAAACTGCCTCATCCCAAGTGGACCCCGGCAGCTGGGAGAAGGCAGACAAGATCTGGGGAAGCTGTGTGTGGGGTTTGATTTTTCCCACCGATCCCCACCTCCTTTTATTTTTATTTTTTTAATTTTTCTCCTCCCTTTGGTGTGTTTCTTTTTTTTATATTCTTGCTGTGTTGGAACTAGCGAGTGGTGGAAGCCGAGGAATCTCCGAAGCCTCATCAGTCATCGGGACTGTCAGGAATAGTGGTTTTAAGAGGAAGCTTGGCCTGGGGCACTATACCCTGTCATCCAGTTCCCTGCCTCGGAGATAAAGATTCCAGCTACATGGGCAAACGCCTGGATCAGCCACAAATGTACCCTCAGTACACTTACTACTATCCTCACTATCTCCAAACCAAGGTATGGCTCTGACCCACAGTCTGGCTAGTCAGTGTGCTGTCCTTCTGCAACTGGGATAGGAAACAGGCAGGCATGTGAATTATTATCTACCTCCCCTCCCTCTCCCATCACCTCTTCCTGCTCCTTTGAAATTAGTAACATGCCCAGCGGAGTTATTAACAAGGCAGTGGAGACTAGAGGGAGAGAGCAAGCCTGGGATCCTGGCTTTCTCTTTAAGGAGAGAGAATAGTTTCGCGGGAGTTCTTTTGTTGTTATTTGGCAGCACAGAGGTTCCTGGTGTCTGTAAAGTCCTCTGCAGATGGGCAGGGTTGTTAGAAAGGAGATCCTAAGGGTGATTATCAGGCTGGAGAATACAATTTCAGGGGCTTTTCTGGTGAGCCGTCCTTTGTTTGTGACTCTGAGAGGGTATTTTTTTTTTTTTTTCCACTGGAGAGGACACGCCAGGATCAAACTTTTAATCGCTGAATGTAGAAGAAAAGCAGGGTGTGGAAGGCAGACCGCAGTGAACTAAAGTCTCTTGGAGTTTGTTTGGGTGTATCTTTTCTTTTTTCTTTATTTGCCTTATGCGTTTTGTTTCCTATGGGGGGTGATCAGGATCCCACAGACTGAATGGTGGAGCTTTGCCAGAGATGTTCTTGACTTTTAAGAAGCTCCGTTTGTCCACGCTAGCTGCCATCAGAAGGCCCCGGGGTTGGGACGGGATGAAATGTAACTGATGGTAATTGGACGTGAACTGGTTAAATACTCCAGGCTTTATGTGTGTGCTCAAGTGATCATGAGGGGGCCAGTGGGAAGCCCACGTAACTAAGCCATGGGCAGTGCCAACCATGAACTTTCTCCTGCAGTTCACACATGAAGGACTCTCAGGTGTGATGTCCCCGCTCCAATTTGTCAAATGGATTGGATCTGATGATGAGGTTGGGGAGTGGGGGGGGAGGGTTGGTAGCGCGCCCACCTTGAACGCATGGGTTCTATTTCTTTAGGGGATGATATTATTTTGTATCGCATTAGCCAGACTCCACGGTCCTCTTCACAGATAAATATGCCAGGAGTGAACAAGGCGTGCCTGAGTGATCTGTGCTGTCACCAGGACTCCTTGATGCGATTAGGCTTTGGGAATTCATGCTGTAGTTATTGCTCCTCTATTCCGTCTCATCAGACAATGCCTGTTTGTGAACCAGACCAGGCAGCGGACTTTCAATATTAGAGTAAAGATTGTTGCCTTTTTGCCTCTCCCTTTTTTCCATCGTTCTAGGATTCGCCCTGCCCCTCCAAGGTCGACTCACGTTGCTTTTTGCCTTTGTGAGCATTTAGTTTGTGCTGCTGCTGCTGCAAGAGAGAGACCAGCCCAGTGCCTTGAGTTTTAACTCTTTGGGATGGGGAGGAGAAGGCTGCCTGCCTTTCTTGAGGAAATGGCAAAGCAAGGGCAAGTTAAAAAAAAGGGTAGGGGGGAGGAGGGGGACTGTAGTCATTTCTCATTGCCCCAAGAAACAAAAACAACAAACTCAAGGGGTTTGTGTGAAAAATATCAGACATTCCATCCCTTTTACTCATTTGCCTAAATTTTTCCAAATGTTTCAGAATTCACGCTGTTCCTTTGGGTCCTTGTTTTCTAGTATGAAGTGTATTCAGGAAAGAAAAAAAAGTTTAGATTGAAATGAATAAATGAATGGAAGAGTTGCTTTTCTGCTTGGGATTTCTTTTACCCTATGAGTAGCAGGAAATAATGTCATGCGCATTATATGAAAGATATAGAATGCTCCATGAGCCACCCTGGTGGGAAGTGTCTGTGTGTGTGTGTGTGTGTGTGTGTGTGAGTGATTGGGGTAAAGGAGAAAGTGGAGTGGGGAAGGAAGAGAGGAGAGCTGTTTTGGGGTCCTATGTCGTTTAGTGTTATGTAGACAGGCGACATCTGGATCTTGTTACTTTCAAGCCAGTCAAAGCCATCAACTTCTGGAACATTTTTAAAGAAGTGAGATCCATTAGGCGACCTAAGCTGATATTGGGGTAATCAGATCAGGGTGGTAGGAAATATCAGACCAGCTCCTTTGGCTATCCCGGTAGTTCCTATGGATTGTTATGTGGTAAAATTTCGACAGTGCTGTGAAGTTGTCGAGTATTGTTACAGAGGCTCTGAAATGGCAGGCATTAGTGACATCCCTGGAAGCTGAAGAAGTGAAAATGTGTCCTGTTTTGAAACTTGGACACATAAGGAATGGGAGGAAGGGTCAATGTGCAATTGCATTTTAAAAAATGGGTGTTTTTTTTTCTGCCAACGGGAACACTATATAAAAAAGTGCTCTCATGCCCCAGAATAGCATGGAAACCACTGGGTTATTTCAGTATCACTTATTGCCCTTTTCACACTTATATCTCAAAATATAACCTATAATAATTTTGAAGGACTTACATGCTGCTCTATTTATTTGTAAGTCTAACTGAAATTCACAAAATCCTCTTGTGTTCTAGATGTGACTTATAGTTCTAATCCTATTTTGGAACCATAGTTATTTAAAATGGTGCTTATATGTGCAGAATGCTTATGGTTGATAGAATTCTGTGGTTGACAACAAAGATCATACATACTCTGGTAATATCAGAACTTCAATTGTTCTCCAAGTTCTAAATTTCACTAATCCTCAAAAGCTATTTGTGGACATTAGTTTTGGTGGAAAATCTTCATGGGATTTTAAAGAGCTGAAATGCTTATTGTATTTATTCATAAAATGCTGAACCTTCTCTCTCTTTTTTTTTTTTTACTTAAATATGTGTGTGAGATATAGTTGCTATTTTCTTGTGATGAAACAAAATGAAAATGGGATTTTTAAATAAATGCAAATGGTTCCCATTTCCTCAAATGTAATTAAGGTTTTTAAAAAAATTGTGACATTTTCTGGCCTTCCTTGCTCCTACTTTCCATTACATTAAAACTAATCTCTGAGCTTCATTGCTTAACTTTTTAAAAATAGAAATAAGATATTTATGCTTTTGCCCATTTGAATAATTTTCCAGGTGCTTAAAATGTGTTACTAGAAAAATTTGTGTGTAAGTTAAATAAAATGAAAACCCAGTGGCTGACTTGTAGCAATAGCCTTAGTTTACTCTCCCGGACCTCACATTAAAAGTTGCCCTTTGCAAATTTTCTTTTTGATCAAATCCTTTCCTACCAAGAAGAGCAAGTTTGGAAAAGAATATTGCTTTTGATTAAGGAGTAATGAAGAAATCTTGGTGACATGTCATAATATTTAAATAAGAGACATAACTGGATTAAAAAGCATGAGTTTCATCAAAAGAAATTTGCTATGGGGAATCCACCCAGAGTCATCAGCAGATTTTAGAGAAAGGGGACCAAAAAATGTGTTCATTAGCTAAGTGATAATTTACATAATGATGTTTGATTGAGTTGTAACCCAGTATATCTCAGGAATTTTGTCATAGCCCATTCAAAGCAACTGACCTGTTGCTATTGCATTTTGAGATCCAGAGTGAATTTCGGTCTGAATTTGAGGTTATTTTCTGTGTGTGGTGGTGAAGCAGGAGTTATTCTTAGAAAAACAAAGCAGAAAAGCTAACAAGGGTAAAACATGGTCAGGGCCTGATACATTGATAGTTTGCAGATAACAAATAGATATTTCTCTCCCAGGCATGTGATATTTGGAAAACGTCAGTCATCTTCCTAAAACTTGAAGACTTGCATAAGCACACTCAGCAAAGCTGTTTTTTTTTTTTTTTACTTTTTCTATGCCCTTACTAGTCCACTCTGTCTCTTCCAATGCAGGACACCCTTTCTAATCACATTGCTCTTACATCTGTCTATTGCCTTCCCATCTGCTTCCCGGGAAGATCTTGAAGCAGAGGTGCAGACTACGGTTTCTTTGGCGGGTGATGCTCAGATTGTGTTCAGAACCTGGTGTGAAGTTGGGGTCAGGTATAAGAAGTCATTCATCAATTGCACGCTGATTCCAGGCCAGGTTTCCAACCATCTGCAGCCTGGATTGCTGCCCTTGTCTGAAAGTTTAGCTGGAGCCCAATGGATTGGGCCATAGAAAGAGCAAACAGTTGAGAACACAAGAGCTGAGGAGTAACACAGGGAGAGAGAGGCTCCTTGGGGGGGGGGGGGGGGGGGGGGGGGCGGGGCGGGGGGGGGAGGAAGGGCACGGGGCGGTAGGGGCTGTTCTTAAAGATGTGAATGTACAGATCCTTCAACAACAAAACAACCCTTAACACACTTCTTGCACATGAAAATGTAGAAAATCTTGCTGAGGGAGGGAATGAGTTTAGAATTTCCTTAGTATTTCCTGCCCAGATTTGCATTGATAGCCGGAGTTGGGAACTTGCCAGTTTTAAAACAGCCTTGAAAACTCCCAAGTTCTGTTTTCCTTTGAAAGACTGAAACATACAAAACTGGTTTTCTAAAAAAAAAAAAAAAAAAAAAAAAAAAAAAATCTTTCAGCAATTGAAATTTTAGGTACAGCTCCAAATATTTCTTTCACTTCAGGGGTGTAACATGATAGCCTGCAACCATGATAAATCTTGTTTGTCTCATTTTAGAATGTATACGATGTTAATAGTTTTTAATAATAGAAAGATGGTTATTTTTCTCCCTTCTTCCTCCCTCCCCGAATCTTTATTGCCATTGAGATTGGCTTATCTTTTCTGTAATGTGGTCATTGTTTTCACAACACTAAGTTTAGTGCCTGCTTGAAAGGAGTAGAAATGTTAACAAGTTCATGTTATATATGCAGAATAATTCCAAACTTAAAGGAAAACACCACGCATGTTTCTTTTAATAGTATCTTTCTAATGCATTTTCCTTTCAGATTCTCTGAATTTGGAAAAAGAATAACTGAATTACAACTCAAATTATTTCCATGAAATAATAACATCTGAGGGGTGGCAGTTGGGGGTGATTTGGAGGGAAGGAGGCACAAGAAGGGAAGGGAAGATGTTAAGTTCATTCCAGGTCTCTCTGGCTCCAGGAATTCTGGCATGCTTCATTT